AGATCCTTCACATTATTAATTATTAAGATTAAACTTAACTTAACCTCTAAGATTTTATTTTAAAAAAATGTATCTTGATTATAAATAAGGCAAACCCTATTGATTGAATTGAATTTTTAGGTTTCCCATTCATTTTTCTAATAAAAGAAGAAATAACATTAAAATAAAAATGGAGATATATATAAAGTAAATTCTAATTTACCATTTAATTATCAAATATTATATTTAAAATTCATATTACGTACATTATCTTTTTTGATTCATTAGGAGGCTTAAAGGGAGGAAATAATACGATGGTTAACACCGATATGGGTTGACTCTTTGAATTTCCACAATTTGACTTTACAAATTGATAAAAATGTATTTTAGTCCGAGAGGACCCTTAAACCGAGACTTATTCTAGACTAGTGAGAAGACAATTCAGCTAGATCCCTGGTTGTTTTAAGTAAAAATTCAATTTATAGATTCATTAAAGTGAGAACATTTTTTCATGATTACGCAATTCTATTCAAGGATATTTTTAGGAAAGATACTATTATTCAATCTATATGTCGTTGACTGATAGTTGATCGCTATTGAGTATTAGATGTGTGATAGAGTATTATAATTCTTAGAATCTTAGAGCAATATAAATACCCTTAAGTACAGTAAATATAATCATAATAAGATAATAAAAATTAATATATCTATACATAAAGTGATAATTATTAAATGAAAATAATCAGTAAATTTAAATATTTATAACGACATATTTTAATATTTATTTATTAACATTCGCCATAGAATATAAATATCCTTATTAGTGAATATCACTTAAAGATATTATAATATTATAATCTAAATAATACTATATATTTTTTGTGTAATACCTAGATTATTGATAATATATAAACTAGTGTTAATACTATTATATCCAAAATATTGATATTTAGTATTTATAAAATTTTTATCATAATTAATTATTATAAATATACAATTCTTATCTACCCGTTTATATAATCAATTAGTCTTTTATATTGATTATCGTGATGTATGTCCATAGTTATGATTGTGGCTCATTAATATAATGTTTATAGGATACCTATTTAATGTTATTTTAATTCTTTAATTTAATATATTTTATTATTGATAAGATACCTTATATATTACTTATTATCAATTGTGACGTGATATTGAAATTTATCAAACTTGTATATTCCAGATATTTAGATTAAATAGTTTATTTTATTATTCTGGTATTATAGTGATTAACCAGTTTTTTAATTATACGTTTATGTCTCTGTTACATATTTCCTATATAGTGAAAAACAAATATAATGGTGATTGTATAAAAAAATAAAATTATGATAAGATTTATATTATACGTTTATTATAATTAAATTTAATCATTATTTTGTTATATATATCTTTCAATTAATCTGCTTGTATTAAAATAAAATAAGTTTTTAACTAATAGAATGAAGAATTGACTAAATCCTAGATATAATCAAATGTATTAACATCACGATTATTCTCTTACTAAAATAATCCTCAACCTAATATTTTCTTTAGTTTATATTTAATTAGGAAATACAATAAAATTATCCATGTGAAAGGTAATTTTAATATATATTAAAACTATTCATTCTAAATGAGATTTTCATTGATTAGTTAACAAAAAATAAAAAATAAAGAATATCCTTTATCTTGAATTATTAATAATAATATAAATAATAATAAATTTTTATTTTTATTTTTTTAGCCAATCAAAATCATGAAAGTATTTTAAAAATTATTAATAAAATTATATTCTTTAATCGAAATAGGATTTGAATTATGTAAGATATCAATATATCTGATTAAATTCAAGACGTTTAAAAATAATAATTTTTTATCTCATTTTTTGCTTACCAAATTGCAATTTGTAATTAAAGAAATTTAATCATACCCTTTCTAAATCAAATCTGAATCATCCAAATATATTTATTTAAAATAAGTTAAAAAATATAAAAATTTTCAAATGCCTCATTTACATATATTATTTGAAATAATAATGTTGAAGCTAAATTATAAATTATAATTATAATAAAATTTTAAAAATTATTAAGTTATTATTAATAACTTACATAATAATATAATGAAATAAAATATAATTAGACACAATAAGATAATAATAGCAAAATTTAAAAATTTAAAAAGCTTAATTATCTATATTATATATTTCTAGATAAAATTTTTTTAATTGGTTAAAACTAAGATTATTTTAGGATATCTTAAATTCCACAAGGACAACATCGGCAATCACATTATTCCCCCCCTCATTTCTACTTTTATATATAGTATAGACTAGTTTTTTTTTATGACGTGCGTCACACATTAACTATGCTCATTATATACTCATTTTTTCTACTCTTTTAATTTTTTTATCTATATAATATTAAAATATAAATTTTATATAATATTAAAATATAAATTTTTTTTTAGATTAAAATAAATACAAGTGGTTAATTTGTATCGCACTTTGTCGTACAAGCTACTTGTATTGCTACTTCTTATATACTAATTCTATTTTTTAATGTTACTTCCTATGTATTTAATTCTATTTTTATATAATAAAGTGGTCTCAAATTGAATTGATAATAATAATCATTTTGGTAATAGTATTACTTATCGAGTGTATTATAGAAAAAAATATATACACATACACATAAATTCTTCAAAACCCTAAAAAGTGACACAAAATAAAAATATATAGTTCTAGTTTTTTTTTAATTTCTCAATTACTATTTTCTTTCAAGTTAAATAGATTTAGAATATAAAAGAAAAAAATATCAAGAAAATTAAAATAGTTAATCATCAAGAGCCCATCTATTTATTACAAAGGAAATATAAATCTCTTACTAAATAAAATGATAATAGTTACAAATTATTCAGAAATGAAAAAATAAAAATAAAATAAAAATATTATTAAAAATAAATTTTTTTTTCAAAATTCACCTAACAAATATAATATATATATATATATATATATATATTATATACTATATTTAGAATGAAGATTTTTAAAAACCTTTGGAATCCTCACAATATACCATATGTTGATTTTGTTTAAAATTAAGTTTTCAAAAATTTTAAAAGATTAATTTAATGTGTATTTTATTTGAAAATTTTTTATTAAAATAAATGAAAATAAAATCATTATTAAAATAAAAATTATAATAAAAATAATATATTATTTTTTTATCTTTAAAGAAAAATTTATGTGTTTTATTGGAAAATTATTTTTAAAAAATATATCAATCAAAATGTACAATACTAAAAAGAGAAAAAAGGAAAATTAATATATATATATATATATATAATATATTATTATATAATATATATATATATTATTTCTTTGAAATACAAATATTTTTAGTATAACTGAAAATAATTAAATATTTAAAAAATAAAAAATATAAAAAATATAAAAATTTTCAAATGTTTCCTTATCATATATATTTATGAAAAATAAATAAAATTTAAAATTTTGAAATGCTTAAATTATCTATATGTATTTATTTAAAAAGTAATTTTTATAAATATATCGAATTAACTAATAAAATGTAATTTTCTAATTAGTTATGACTAAGGGTATTTTAACATATTCTAAATTTCATCAGGGACGCTATCAAAATCCCATTATTTCCTCTTATTTCCATATTTATATATAGTGTAGAGTAGTTTCTTTATGACATGCGTTGCACGTTGACTATACTCGCCATATATTGTTTATTGTGCTTGTTTAATTTTTTATTAATATAATATTAAAGTATATATTCTTATTTAGATTAAAATAAATACACTTTACATATATAATGACTATTTTTTTATTACATGTCTTGTATTGTAATAACTAATTAAAAAAGATAATATTTTTATTTCTCTGATCAAAATAACATTTTCAATATGAAATTTATTATTTCTATTCTCTTCAAAATACTAATTTACTGTGATGTAAAAATAGCTATATTAATAATCACTATTATTTATAATATAAGCTAACTCAAAATGAACCCAACTCCAAATAGCGTTTTGATTCCATATTCAGTGGATGGGACATTTATCTGTGGTCTACAGGATTGAGAATATATGCATAGCTTTCCTAGCTTTGATTCTCCATTTTCTAGCCTCCTCATTATTAGTTCACCGCCCCTAATAATGCTCCATTTTCTAGCCTCTACATGTGAATGTTTCATGTACTATAAGTATTGCGGTTGAGCTTTTCAACTTGATGAGCCAGCAAGATCTGTCATAATGATGACTTTACAGTCCTGGACTGTATACTTGGCTTGGACAGGTCCTTCACCTTCGCACTGATGCCGCTTCCTGAATATCGAGGGAAAGAGAAATTTTGACTTATTTGGAAATAATATTTTATAAGGAAAGGACTAAATTATAATTTTATAAAAGAGGGACTAGATAATAATTTTGCAATACAGCTAATTCAAAGTGACACCTCACTCACTCACATCTCTAGTCACATCACATGGACAATTTTTTTTCTCTTAACTCACATCAGATCAATCACACTAATTTTTCTATTTCATCTTCTCCCTCAGTCCCTCTCATTATTTCTCCTCTGTTTCTTTCTTCACTAGCTGCAAATGGAATGAATTTTCCTCTCTCTCTTTCTTTTTTTTTTTTTGGCTCACTAGTACTCTGCTTCACAACTAGAATTGGCATGGCTATGCATAGCCGATTCACCAAGGAAGCTCACAAAATATTTTTACTAGTTTTTCATATGTTAGGTTACCAACTTTTTGGTAGGTAAATTAACAATGATACAAAGTCTGTATTTATTATTTTCACATGCTAAATTTTTCTTTTGATTTGTGTTGAATCCTAACGTATCCTATTCCTAAAACTAATTAAGCCTATGGCTACATTTTTCCACTGAGATGTGAAGCGAAGATACGCCTAGAGTATACCATGGCCAATAAAAGTGCTAGAACAGTTAAACTACAGCTGAGAAATCAGGAAACTACTAAATATTGTAAATTCATACGAAGTTGCATTTACAACAGAGTAGTGACTGCTTAATGCCTTTCCCTATAGGTCACCAAGATCTTGGTAGCCATCTCACCAACATCTTGACGAGTTTGCAGATTCTCCATATTGTGAAATCCATTGAATTCCTTGATCACTTGGGCATAATGATTAACCCCATCGCTCATTTCAGCCTCACCTACCTTCAAGATGTTCTTGAGCCCTACAAGGCACAAACTCACTGTCCTACTGTCTTCACATAGTAGATGCTCACAGAAAGGTCCAATGCAGCCATGGTCCACTGGGTACCTGCAAGAATAATTTAAGTTAGGATATTAATTGAACTAAGACCTAAATGGTTAATATTCTTATTAATTACAGTGTGGGACCGAGGGACGTTACGAAACACATTCTAAATCTCCCTTTTCCTAATGTTAAGAAAGAAGTCAGAACCTCTCAATCTTATTGAGAAAGTTCATGAAGGGAATGATGAAGAGAATGGGAAGTTCTTGGTGCTATTGATTAAAACTAATCATCTATCCATATCTAGAAATAGAAGATAGAGGGGAAATCAGGTTCTTGATTAACCAAAATCTTAGTTTAACTATGTTCTTAACCCTCATACAAGATACTGGATAGAGATTGAGTTCATGTTCTTCAAATTGAGGATTCTGAAAAGGAAACATATAAGGAGTTTAATTTTTGCATGCGCTATGATCTGGCTCATGAAAGAAATAGGGTAAATTACGGCAGATTTTAGTATACTGGACCATTCTGTTACAATAAAAAAAGCTACAAAAAATTCAGGAAATAGCCATGGAAAATTCCATAGCTAAGTAATGCATAAGATATCTTTATTCAGGGGACTAAAAGTGTTACTTTGAAAATAGAAGGGGCTGATAGCACTAACTATGAGTTATGACAAAGATGGAAAGTGCTAAATTTACCCAAAGAAATGGGGCAGATCAACAAATAGAAAGGAGAAACATACTTAATCTGCTCATTGGACCCCCTTATGGTGGCATTTGACAAAGCACAGACAGCTTCCCATTTGACTTCAGCCTCGTAGTCGTCTTCATCTTGAAGAAGATGTAGAAGAGGAGGGATTAAATTTGCTTTTATTACTCTCTGCTACAAAAGAATTCATATATAATGTCATGTCCAAATCATATAAACTGTTAAACGATATAAACAACTTTGGGCATCTATTTCTATCGAACATGGTAGAAAGGGCATATTAATTTTAAATAGATAGGAAAAAAAAAATTATTAGACCTGTAGATTGCTTCGATTCCCAGCTGTCATATTTGAGATGGCCCGACAAGCCTTCCTCAAGGTAGCACTTACCATACCTTGAGTGAGAATGTCATGCAAATTAGGGAACACCCCATGGTCAATTAGAACCTGAAAAATAATAGCATATCATGATTACAAATGATTATTATTTCTTATATTATTGATTATTGTGTCTTGATATTCACAAATTAACTTCAATCAATAGTAAATTAAAACAAAACAATTAATATATACCATGATTACAAATTCTTAAAGCATTTTGAAATTCTTGAAAATCCTATGTGGCATAACCTAACTATTCTATCTCTATATTACATTACCTAATTTTAACAATCTCACTTAGCACTCTCTAGGAAAATCATACTTGCTTTATATATATTGATTTGCAAGCATTATTTGAGTTTAATGGAGTACTTAAATATATTATGGCTGCCTATATACCATTTCAGGAAATAACTTAACATTTCCAATATACCATCAACTTAATTAATTATAAAACACTAAAAGAGATAGGGGTGTTGCATTGTTCACCCCGTTTTATTGAGGAGTTGATATATCATTGCTTGAAGAAGTTTGTTGCGATATATGCTTTGGGATAGTGGTGAGGGCTTAAATTTTGTTTTCTTTTGTCCAAGGTGATCTGTTTTTCAATTCACACATTTCAGCTTTCTCTTGACACTTTGGGTTTGCTTACTCTTGACATGTTGGGTTTTGATTTTCACACGTAGCTGAATTTCAATTTTCTCTTGACACATCCAAAAGTAAAAAAGTAGCTAATCTTGTAGAGTGACAAAACCTAGAATCAAAACTTTGAATGAAAGAGCCTCACTTTTCTCTCATTTTCAATTTGTACTTTTTCCACTCATTTCTCTCTCAGCAATTCTCCTTAATTTTCAAGGCAAGGTATGTATTTCACTTCACAAACTCTTAAATATTTTTGTTACTGCAATTCTCCTCTCATTTTCTATACTTTAATTTCTGTCTATACTCTCCTTAATAGATGTAATTTCAGACTCGTGTACAGCTATACCAATTCAGGGCATGCATCCATATTCATGTAACCACATAATTCCTTTTGATTTTTTACCTCTTCTATCCTATGTACAAGTAAAAATAAAGCATGTATTTCGGTCTGAGTATCATTAATTTAAGAGAAAAAAAAGGGAAAGAATTCTTCGTAGACTTAATATATAATCATAACTGTTGAAGTATTGGCATTTTAGTTTCCAGCTCATAATTCTTATTTTCCAGCAGAAGAAGTCAATAACAGATATTTTATTCTCCTAATTTTTAGTATTATTTTTGCAGTTAGTTTTTATCTTATGATATGCAGTGGCAATAAAGTAGATAAGTTTGTTATTTTATTATGTAAAAATTCTCAGTTTGAGCTGAATAATATGATCAGTCTTCTCTCTTCTTCACACTCTTCCTTAAACATCATTTTTTAGCATATATATTTCTCTCTTTTCCTTTCAAACACTAACAATAACTAAATATTTTTATATGCTCATTGAAAATAGCGAAAAGGGAAGAGGGAAATTCACTACTGATTGCCTACTATGTGAATCTTACACTGATTGTCTGTTCTTATTGTTTGCACCGATTGCCTGTTTGATTACGTGCATTGATTGCCTGTTTTGGTCATTTGCATTGATTGCATGTTCTGTGAATTTTGCATTGATTGTCTATTCTGAATTTTGGACTGATTGCCTGTTTTGATTGGTTGCACTAACTACCTATTTTCTGAATGCTTGCACCAATTGCCTATTCTGGTTGCTTGCACTGGCTGCCTATTTTTTGAATCTTGGACTTATTGTCTGTCCTGATTTTTATTGACCTGAAAGGCATGGTTATTTAAAAATATGCATATGCATGATTTATGCTGGCAAATCATGAATATAGCTCAATTTTTCAGTAGAGTGATTTTGGCCTAAAAACCCTATTTTTGGTAATTTTTCTAATTCGAGAATTGTTTCGCTGCAGTCTGAAAATCTGGTTTTTGAGAGATTTTTGATAAAAATAATAAATTTAGGTGTATTTTGGTCTAAAAACACCATTTTGATCAGTATTGATGTGCAAAAATCATAAAGACGGGTCAATTTTCAGAAAATTTGAAGTTTGGGGTCAATTTTCAAAAAATTTAAAGTTTGGCTATGGGACCCACGGTGTCGTGGTGGGTCCCATGGTGCTTAGGGCCCAGGGCAGCCATGGTTGGCGTTTGCCTATGAATACCCCTCATTTAATGCCTTCTCTTTTGTGGTTTTGCACCTCGGGGCCCGATTTTTAAAAATTTTTCACTTACACCCAAAAATGCAGATCTGTTTTTGAGTCATAGCATGCAAATGTGTACCAAGAAATTAGAAAAGGTGGAGAAAAGGAATTTGCGCCAGTACGATATGGCAGCTTTAGTTATTTTGAGAGGCGTACTGATTGATCGGGCTTTTGTGTATGCATGCCCACAATTGTGTGACCCTCAATGACAAGAAGTTTGCAGCTATTGTGGGTTGTGATTCTAAAAGGGCTTCGGTGGCTGCACTGGCTAAGTCTAGGTATTTGTTGACCTTTTACGGATGTTAGGCCTATCTTCGAAGGAGGCTAATGAGATAGTTAGCGATGATTGTGCTAACTTGGGTATGCTGATAGGGAGGTATCGGTACTAGAGGGGTTTTGCTGATCAGAATTTTAGAGGTTTTGGATAAGGGCTTTGGTATTATCCTTAGTGAGCACTTATCTGTTATCAAGCCTGGTCGGATGGGGCAATCTGAGAGTTGTTAATCTGGTGCTGCAGATGGAGTAAGGGTTAGACATAATTAGCATGGTGCTTGCTGAGACCATCCTAAGCCTCGATCAAGCTTTCAAGTTGAGGGACTTCGGTCAGCTAGTCCGATTCTGCTTCAGGTAACCATTTCTAATATGGTTTAGGTTTCTGATTCAGTTTGCATGCTTTTTAGAAATGGCTAGGTGTTTAAGATGGGTACAGTTGAGTCTGTCTAATTTGTGAATATTTTGCATGTGAATGCCTGTTTTTTGGATTATGGTGCAATGTCTGATTTTATAGGTATGGCAGAGGGACCATTAGAGGATTATAGAGCCTCCATGATTTCTCCTGTATGAGGCATTGTAATATCATTCCCAGTAGATTATGGTGAGACTCGGGACTGAGGATGAGTGGTTGCTTTTGCTTATAGAGCTGAGACCCAACCAGATCACTTAGAGATGTGATTGGTACGAGATTGGGAGATTTTTAGTGAACTCTGTTGGGTATCAGATGGCGTATTTACTAGGCATGGATCAGTTCACATTCTACCTGGATTCCAGAGTTATGAGGCAAATGTGTCATGTTCAAGGCATGCCACCAGCTAGAGCTATATTTGAGGCTACTCTAATCTTGTCTCGAGTTACCATAGTGGTTCAGGGCAGCTGGTATAGGGGAGCACATGTGGTGGAGCCTGGTATATCAAGAGGTAGATCTGAGGCATTTGAGGCTTGGTGGGTTTCAGAGCATGAAGACCATGAGAGAGGCCGTAAAGCTACACTAACTCAAGAGATTGAGGGTAGACGTAAGGCGACATTAGAGCTAGTTCATGACCATATAATATAAGAGGACTTGGAGGGCTCAGACAACTTTAGAGACAGACATCCGAGGCGACACAGATGGGTTGCCTAGACTTTCAGTGAATACCGACCTATTTCATATTGTTGTGACGGTGTCCACCCATAGTGTATAGATACAGACAGTATAGATATGGACAGTTGACATTAGGTGAGGACATGAGATAAATGACATATGCCTGGATGATAGGACTTTCTTGATTTTCCTTTTACATGGCCTATGCTGTTTTAGAGACATGTAAAAGAGAAATCATCTGGACATGTATATGAAAGGGACATTCAGTCTAGCCTTTATGAGATTACTACTCTTTTCTTTACCTAAATTACCCTCTTGGGTTTTCAATTTAGTAGGCTTATTTGATTTTGCTTAAGAAGCTTGCCCTTGTAAGTTTTCAACTTAGATGTTTTCTATTTTTGCCTGAACTGCCCTTTTCGGGTTTTCAATTCAGCTTAGTTTTTAGTTTTTCTATCTTTTGTTAGATTGATGTTGGCACCATAAAAATTTAAAATTTTCATTTGAATGAGAAAACATATATTTATTATTATTGTGACTGCACCCATAGGCTGTGCTACCTACATATATCGTACTTTAGTGAACATATTTCTGAGAGTTAGGTCCCCATAGTTCGGTAAAACGGTGACGGATTAAAATTTCTGGTGCAAATGTTTGAATGCATTCACACAAAAAATACCTTTTTAGTTGATCCAAATTGCAAAGGATTTGTGAATTTGTTGCTATTAATGTTTGATAAAGTGACACCATCTCCGAAGAGAATCGTCTTTAGGATATAAGGGTCTATCCAGTTTGGCCCGAATTTGCCCCGAGGATCTTATACAGGAGCTTTGATTTCTTAGAGTACAAGACACCCTTCTTCGAATTTTCGATCTCAGATCCTTTTATTGAAGTATCTAGCCATTCTATGTTGATAGCTCTTAATATGGTTGGGAGGTTTAAGTCTCTTCTCATCAATTGCATTTAATTGATCTTGATGGCCTTGAGCCCATTTTGCTCTAGGCAACTGACTTTCTCACATAACTCTGGCTGAACAGATCTGAACTTCGACGGGAAGGACTGCTTCCATCCTAGAGACCAATGAATACGGTGTTGCCCCAGTTAGTGTTCTGATGGAGGTTCTATATCCCCATAATGCAAAAGGAAAATGCTCATGCCAATTTCTGTAATTATGTATCATCTTTTATAAGATGTTCTTGATGGACTTATTAGCTGCTTCTATTGCTCCATTAGTTTTATCTGTACAATGAAGACTAATGATACTAAATTCTATACTTGGACAACAGATTGGAGACTTCCTTCCGGAAATGAGACCCATTGTCTGATATGATCTCGAAAGGAACTTCATATTTACATATGATATTGTTTTGAATGAACTGAGAAACTTTCCTTGAATTCAGAACATGATATGACGTAGCCTCTACCGACTTTGTGAAGTAATCAGCCACCACTAGAATATCCTCATGTTGATTGGAAGACTTTGGGGTAATCTTACCAAAAACATCGATTCCCCATATTGCGAAGGGCCATAGTGTGGTGATCGGGTGCAGAGCCACTATAGGCATTTCCTGAATCTTGGTATAGATTTAGCATTTATGACACTTTTGGACAAACTTAGCATAATCTAATCCAATAATCAGCCAATAGTAGCCCTTATTAGTAATTTTATGGGCCAAGGCCATGCCATTCATGTGAGGGCCTTCTTCTCTGCCATGGACCCATTCCATGATCTGTTGAGCTTCTTCCTCAATTACACACCTTAGGTGTGCCTGATTCTAGGTTCTTTTGTACAAGATTCCATCTTTGTAGAGGAAACCTCTTGATAATTCATGGAGAGTCCTCTTGTTAGACTTGGAGGCTCCTTTAGGGTATTCTCCTCTTACGAGCCAAATCTGTATGTTTCAAAACCATGGCTTGCCATCGATAAGCTGGATGCTGCAACAGTGGGCAGGTTGTTGACGAATTTGAACATTCAACGGTTTGTTGACCATGTCAGGGTTGACATCAACCATTAAGGCTAAAGTAGCTAGTGCATCAGCAGACTGGTTCTTGGCCCTCGTTAAGTTATGGAAAGAGAGCTCTTTAAACTGATCGAGATGTTGATGGTAAGGAACCAAGCGCTGCTCTTTGATTTTCCACTTCTTGAGAGCTTGAGAGACTATCATTATAAAGTCCTTAAAGAAAGTTAAGTGCTTGATTTGAAGTCTAAGTGCAGTTTCTAGCCCGGTGATACATGCCTTATATTCCGCTTCATTGTTAGTGACTTGAAATGCCAGCTTGATGCTGAAGGGTAACCGTTCTCCGCTCAGGGTCACTATGACCACCCCTACACCATAGCCTTGATTATTGGTTGCTCCATCAAAGGAAATTCTCCAAGTGTTAGACTGAATCTGGTGGATGTCCTTATCTAGAAACCTATTGTCATCCATTTCGATACCACTGGGTGAGGCGGCAAGGTAAACTGCTATTACACTGCCCTTAATAGCCTTCTTTGCTATATATTTGAGGTCAAATGCTGCAAAGATGGTGGTCCATTTTGCCATCTTACTGTCTAGAATTGGCCCCTCTATAAGAAATTCAAGGGGCTCTAGTCAGCTATGACTTGTGTGGTGTAGGAGCATAGATAATGCTAAAGCTTGTTGCACACCCATGCTAAGGGTAAGCACAACTGTTCGATCTTGTTCTACTTCAGTTCATGAGCAAGGATCCATTTACTCAGGTAGTAAACGACATTCTCTCTGTGAGAATCTTGTGCTTCTTGTGCTAGCATTGCCCCTATGGCTTTGTTAGTCACCGCAAGGTATAAAAGCAACGGCTTGCTAGGTTTGGGAGGTTAGAGAACTGGATGATGGAGCAGATAGACTTTAATTTAATTAAAACCTTTTTGACACTCATCATCCCATGCTTTCAGAGCATCCTTTCTTAGTTTCTTGAAGATAGTCCTGCAGGTCTCTACTAGCTGCGAGATAAATCGACTGATATACTGTAATTCATGCAAGAATCTTCGAATCTCCTTTTCGATCTTAGGAGGTTGCATCTTTAAGATGGCTTTGGACTTGGCCAGATCAATCTCAATTCCTCTTTTGAAGACCATGTAGCCTAAGAAGATGCTAGATGGCACTCCGAAGAGACATTTGGCCAGATTAAGCTTGAGATTATACTAGCATAGTCTGGAGAAGAACTGCTCAAGAGCTGTCAGGTGGCTTGGTCCATGACCATGTCATCGACATATACTTCCAGATTCTTATGCAACAGATCATGGAAAATTATGGTGGCCATCCTCTAGTAGGTTGCCTCCCCACATTCTTTAGCCCAAAAGGCATCATCTTGTAGTAGCATGTGCACTATTCAGTGATGAATGAATTTTTTGGCTTGTTAGAAGGATTTACTAGTATATGATTGTATCTAGCATATAAGTTAGTCACTGAGATGACACTTGATCTTGCCATTCTGTTAATAAGCAGATTAATATATGACAATAGAAATCATCCTTAGGACAAGCCTTTTTTAGATCTCGATAATCAATATAGATTTTGATTCTGCCATCCTTTTTAGGGATCTGTACTATGTTGGCTAACCAAGTTGAGTAATCTATGGTCTCAATGAAGTTACTTTCTAGAAGTTTGGCTGTTTCATTTTCAATCCTCAAAGAGATTTTCAGCTTTTGTCTCTGGAGCTTCTGCTTTACTGGTATGATACGCTCATATGTAGGAATCTTATGAACTACAATTTTCGAATCTATACTAGTCATATGACTTGAGCCCCATGCAAAGCAATTTGAATACTTCTTGATGAGTTATGTCAAACCTTGTTTATTGTCACACTCATGCACAATGTATGTATTGTTGGGTTCAAATTTAGTGCCAACAATTATTTTTTCTTTTGTTTTTTTTATTACTTTTTTTCTATTCATTTTCATTTTTGCCAGCAATCTCATTCAAGCTAAAGAGAGGGTGACAAGAAAATTGAAACTTTTAGATCAGGTTTGGTTCTTGATTAAAGAGACTTGTCAGCCATTAATTAATTGAAAAGTTCAATGTAAGGGAACTTACATCCATTGTATGTTGGTTAAATTTCCAAGCTCCAGAAGCAATTCTCCTTAAAGTTGATTAAACTCAACTGACCTATACATTTATGAAGACTAAACACATTGTAACTATCAATACTTAACCCTTTTTTTTTTTTTTTTTTTTTTTTTTTTTTTTTTTTTTTTTTAAAGCCCCAGAAGCAGATTCTCCCTTAAAGTTGTGGGATTAATAAAACTCAACTGACCTATTACATTTATGGAAGACTTAACACATTGTAACTATTCAATATACTAACCCCTTTCTTTTTTTTTTTTTTTTTTTTTTTTTTTTTTTTTTTTTTGTTTTTTTGAAAGAAGGCGATGTAAACCATTTTTTTTTTTTTTTTTTTTTTTTTTTTTTTTTTTTTTTGAAGAAGGCATGTAAACAATATGGTGAACTTTAATTTAATCTTACAATTCTCTTAGATTACTAATGTTTCCAAGTTCTTTTGGGATTGTTTCTGTCAACCTGTTTCCCTTAAGAGAGCTGCAACCATTCATTTTCTCAATTTCAGTTTCAATCCAAAAGTAAAAGATAGAAAAGAATTATATATCCTGTGAGGAAAACGCTTGCCTAGACCGGATTCATTTTTTTGGTCCACAGGTGAGGCATGAATTCCACTTAGGTAAGTTTTCACATCTTGTGAAACAAGATACCTAATTATTGAGTACATTCAATTTACATGTATGCACCAAAGATGCAGGAGTATCATTCCATGAAATTTTTAAAATTTTATTTCATATATCAGATATAGTTTTTTATTTCACGTCCAAAATAATATTCCTATCTTGTTTGTCGATTGAATCTATCCATCCTGATTGGCCGGAGCATGGATCAATGCTAAAATTCTAATCTGTCTTCCTTAGTGCCTTGGCTACATCAAGAAGACCTTCCATTGCAACACATACAAGTAATTAAGAAACCAAAATGAGAATAAGAAATTAGAAAAAGGTTCAAAATCAAGATTATGGTTATATATGAACAAGCGGTCCGAAATATTAGTCAACCTTCATCATTTAGCTATTGAGCAGCTTCAAAAAGAAAAGTTGTGAAGCAAAAAATTATGATAGAAGCAACAAGTAGTCTTAAGAAGAACATCTTTGATCAATATATCTAACAGTTAGAATGTAGAAAGGAAGTGAAAATGGGTTGCTAAGCTTTCGAGAGTCTAAGGAAAAAAATAAATGATTCCAAATAGAAAGAACAAACTTATATTCTTTCAATCTTGGGAAAAGAAAATGTTCCATTGTGGGCCAAATTTACTTTCGATTTCAGAGTTTGCAATTTAAAAATATAGTTTTTTTTCTCGTTTATTAATATTTTATATAGTATTAAGTATTGATTGTAAGTCTCCTCTTATATTATCTAGATTTTATAATATTAAAATATAATTTCATATTGATATGAACGTGAATACAATAGCTAAATAATAATTAGTAAAAGAATATTATATTTATATAAAGTTCAGCTCAATTTTTAAATAGAATTGTAATATCAATAAGATTCTTCAAATCAACTTATAGATAAACACATATACACGATTAGTTTTATTTTTTAAATATTAGAGATAATTATATTTTTAATGTCTCAACTTTGTATATTTTATATTTTGATGTCTGATCGGAAAACAATAGCAATTGAGTGCATAAATTTTTTAAAATTTACAATTAGATATTTTCGGCTGAGTTGATAAACCGGAAAAGTGAATAGGCAAATGTTAGACCCACTTTCTTTACAAATGATAGCTAATGTGGACAAAAAGAAATCCAAATTAGCTAAGTCAGTCAAATCTAACTTGGACTTTATGAAATTGTGTTTTTTAACCTCCATTTAATCTTGTGCTTCATTCTCTCAAATCTTTCGACCCAAAACCTCAATCTCTCACCCTTAATGTGATGGTAGTGGTAAATCAATGGTAGTGGTAAATCAATGGTCAAGATTTCAAAAGCACTTCATCTTCTTCTTTTTCTTTTTTCTTTTCCAGCTTCAAAAATATTCAACACCTCTGTTCAGACAATCTTTCTCCACCCACCAAAACATCCTCCTTTTAATAAACAACATTATTAGAATGCCAAAAGCTACTGTAGTAGTCGTCGCCCATTTCAATCCGTGGTCCATCTCAATTCTGGGTGCCCATAAACAAATTGTCGTTTACTTCACAAGATCTCTCCATAGACGATTGTTTCGTGAAGGAGCTGCAACGGATCTTTGGCGACAGTCAATCAAATTGGGGCGAATTTTATGTGTGTGGTTGTTGAGAACTAGTAGGGGCTGATTGTAAATTTGTTATTTCCTATACATTTGCTTGAGGATTGTATCTGTGTTGAGTTATAATTATTATTCTTGAGGATTAGAATCTTTGTTTTAAGATGGTTAGATTTTCGTTCTTGGCCACTAGATATTACACTTCAAAGTTAACCAGAATCTCAACCCACAAAGGCACATATGTTGACTATCAAGATTAGCTAAATCATAAGGCAGTGGCAGTCACAAGCTTAGGATTTTAACAGAATCATACTGAATGTATGGCTTATAGAGGAAAATGGGAATCAACAATGGGAACCATCGTCAGCTGGCACATTCTCTTGTGGGCAGATTTTTGCTGTGTTTCTTCAAGATTATCATTCTTAGTATAATAGAAGAAAAGGAGGTAGTAACTCTTACTTTTACTTAATCCATGTAATAATTAGTTCAACTTTTTACTCTTTTTTTTGCTTTTTGAAAATTAATTTTTACTTGAATAGATTGTGTATATTTGCAGTAATGAGTTTAGAATTTTTTTTTTACTTTCTTTTTTCCTTTTTCTTTTTTTTTTTTTTGCAAATATTTGGGAAGAATTTTAGTTTGGTAGACCCATTTATTCGTATACGTTTTCTGGTTTGATTAATGTGTAGTTCCCATTTGATTGATGGGTTTAAGACAGTATCAACGACTTTTTTAGGCAAATTGTAGTAAAATATAAAATAGAGGTTAAAGATCACATTTTTCATAAAATTTAGGTTAGATTTGTCTATTTTTGTCCACTGCAGCTGCCATGTGTAAAGCAAGCAGGTCCCACAATTGCCCATTCACTTTTCCTATTTGCCAACTCAGCCGTAGACACCCGATTGTAAATTTTGAAAAATTCATGCATTCAATCACTAGCATTTTCTATTCAGGCACCAAAATAAAAAAAAAATGCAAAGTTGAGACACTAAAGATATAATTATCCCTAATTATTAATTAATATTAAAATATTAATATTTGTATTTTTAAACATTTATAGGATATTTATTGATGTACAAATCATAAATTTTTGATTTTTTTCTTAATAAAATATATTAGATAGACGGTTAAAGATCAGCATTTTTTCTTGAAAAAATTTAGGTGACGATTTGTCTAATGCTTTTTGTCTCTATCTGCAAGGCTGCCATGTGTTTAAACAAATGGCAGCGTCCCACAATTGCTCCGCAAATCTCCACGTCCTTCTCCCTATAATATTTTGCCCCAACCTTCAGGCCGAATGCGAGCACCCGGATTTAAGTATATGTTTGAAAGAAGTTCTGTGTGCATTTCCAATCACTAGCATTTTTCTATTCAGGGCACCTAAAATAAAAAAAAATGCAAAGTCTGAGCTACCTGAAAGAGCGTATAAAATTATCGAAGACCTAATATTACGAGTGTAATTATTAAACACTCGATGGAATAACTTGTGTATTTTAAACAGTTTATAGGATATTTATTGGACTGTTCACATCAATTCAGTTGACTAATTTCTCTATTTTTTTTTTAGATTAACTCAAAGATCCAGATGTATGAAAATAATCAGTCAATATCATATGTATCTAATTATTAATTAATATTAAAATATTAATATTTGTATTTTTAAACATTTATAGGATATTTATTGATGTACAAATCATAAATTTTTGATTTTTTTTTAGATAAATCAAATATCAGATATTAAAATTAATCAAATACTATTTGGTCATAAATTTTAATTGGTCATGAGTAACAATGTGGTACGATATTCAAAATTTGACTAATG